ACGTGTGCTCTACAGATCTAGTCTGGATTGTCTACGTAGCAAAAAGACCATGTAAACATCACGTAGATTTCACGTAAATAATCCGTGTAGACGTAATCTTGAAATCTACGGCACAACCCTGCTTTCTTCCAATACAATTTCACGGCTTGAATTTATATTATATGCTCTCTTTTATACATTTTTGAGTAGAAAAAATATTCTTTTACTTTAAAAATAAGATATCTGTGATATATAAAAGTTATTTAGTAATTGTAAAGGAATAAGCGAGTGTATGTAAAGTTTTTTTTTAAACTTTGAGGCAGACACTTATGCGATAAATTAGGTCACATGTGTAGTCCATACATACATATACAATCTTTATGAATCGCGTACACACCATTTAGCTGAAACGAGTCGTAACGTGCTTTGAAGAGAGTGAGCGAGAGAGAGGATGGAGGGAGGGGGGAAGTTTGCCAACACCATATTTATAATGTCTTATCGCGGCGAAACTGCTCACATGGGAGTCAAATCACGAATCTCGAAGACAGTAAAGTTAAAGTACAGTGATTCACGCTTTTTGCCCCTAAATTCAACTTTATGATCGTAGAAACGCACATTTGTAATGCCCGCGAACCGGTCAAGCTACATTGCTTTTCGTTACAACGAAACTACAACCATTCGCTTGAACCAACCGGAAAGGATGCGCCGTCGTACGGGAAATAGCGCCATTAAATTTGACTGCAGCTACATCGTACTACGATTCCTACGTTTCCTGTCGTACCGCTTCGGCCTTGTATTCTTGGTACATCCGCGTGGAGAAATTTTACTAGTTCTCCAGACTTACGACTGTTTCCTTCCTTCAGAAAACTTGTATGTTCTTTCGCATCTGATGTAAATAATTTAAGAAGACGTCTTCAGAATCTCGTTTCTCTCTTGAAATCTACTACCGTTTTTTTTCTTTTGGAACTGTTGTTACAAGCAAAATTGACTTACGAGATATCTGTAGAGGTCGTTTCTATATATATCTTATCTACTTTATCTGACAAAGCGGTAATTACGTTCATTTTTGTGCTATTACTGTTGCTCAAATATGATGTCTCATTTCGCGTTAGGCCGAGACGAGAAATATTGGCACGTCTTTCGTTATCCTTCGATGTACTCTCGCGGAAAGGCCGGAGAGATACATATTGTACGGCAGCTGCAACCGAGACACCCGTTGAGATTTCGTTTCGTCAGAGAACAGCGGCAACGTTGTCTTTCCCTTGATGGGACGGAGACACGAAGGAAAACTCGAATGGTTACTGAAGGAAATAAGGTCGCCGAAAGAAAATTGCAGGCTGTCACGTGAAGTATTTCTCATGTTTCGATTCTTTGTGGGGTCTCTTTGAAACACGAATCCGACAAGAAGAATTTTTGTTCACTTAGACTTGAATCTTCTGTCTTGAATATTATATATATATATTTTTTGTGCTTTTAACGAATATTTACGGATTTACTATCTGCGCGCTCAGAATTATTTTGTATAGCTAAAAAAAATTTAGAAGAAAAATTGATTACTTTTTATTTCTAATTTTTCTTGTTTTAACAATTTTAAAAGAAATTTTTATACCTAAATGCGGAGAACCGCACGTTGATTGCTCGCCGCACGATTTTATTATTTATTAAATTCACGGCCGTACGTTCCTGATTGACGTGGTTAATTCTTGAGGAGCTAAACTGCTGGATGTAGAAGCCAGGCGGATCGTACAGTGAAAAAGAAGGGAAGCGTTCGTATAGCGAGCCACAATTGCTGCTTCTCCGACGAACGATTTTCATGAATATTTATTTCCGTATTCTTTTATGTCGTAAACACGTTTAGCTCGCTTCTCTGAAACGCGAGTCTATACATTCATTTCCGTGGCTATATATATATATATACATATATATATATATATATATGTAGATATTTTTTTTTAATTAATGGAATCCAGCTGTCTGCAGCAAGATGGAGTACTTTTCATAAAGCTCTCTCATTTATTGTATTTTAAGGAATGTCTGATTTTTGGCTATTATATTGTGTAACAAATCGAACGATTATGTTGAAAGATCTAAAAATTTTGCTAAAAACAGATCTGAAAATAGTTTTTTATTGAATCATCAAAATAATTTATTAGAATATTAAAACTGATAAGTATTGCTATGAAACGTTTTGATATTCTAGCAATCATTTTGACTTTCGCACAAAATTATTTTGATTATTGAACAAAAATAATTATTTTCAGATCTGGATTCAGCAAAATTATTCTTTCCGTGCATTGTCACTTGCTTTGATTAATGTGAACAAATGGAAATGGAACTTTGAAGTGAACTCGAAACTCTTACTCTTGTTGACAATAAACGTTAATGGATTAAAGGCAAATTAGCGGAGAAGTTAGTGTTCTCTTCTAGTATGCAATAATTTCAAGTATCTCTCTTGGTCGTCGTGTCAGTGCGCGTTTCTTGGTTGGTATTCCGCGATGCGCCGAATCCTCTGATAATAACGCTTCCATTCGCCCTCGTTGACCTCCTTCCAGCTTCAAGAATACTATTCCGAAATTTAATCATCTCGTAATATCAATTTACTTCTCTTCCGTTGATAAATCAATCCCAATTTGCGAAAACGCTCGTAGGACTTTGACTCGCTGCTATAATCACGCTTTTTTCGCGGGGCTGCATTTTTTTAAATTCTATTACGCGTTTCCAGCGCATAGCGGATATATCGATTGGCAGGCTTGGCGGTTTAAACGTTAAACAAAAACTAATTTCGAGCGAGCGAGCCGTAAAAGTGTATGGTACGGTAAATCTGCGCTTAAATTAACTCGCGCCCTCGCGAAATTTACACTACTTTCTGCTCTGCTAACTCCGCCGGCCACGTGAAAGCTGGTACCCCCTTTGTACCTCGCTTGTGCGGCCGTGCACTTCCAAGTAAGTACGCAAACTTCTTACGGTTCCATGGGGCTGGGCGAAATATGCGGGTAGCGTAGCAGGTTCAGCTTCGCGGGGTCAGGATCGTCGGCCGTTGCCCGTCGCACTACAGCGAGACGATGCGGCTTGCAGTTGCGCCGCAGTTGCGCTCGAATCGCGATTGTGCTGCACTGCGGTTCCCTGGACCGGATTATCCCCGTCAGCTGGGTGTAAATGGCATCGGTCATTATTATCGCGCGTAAATCATAGGCGTCCGTGTTCTCCGTTTTTGCGCAAAGTACATAGGATGATACACCGGGGGCGAAAATTGAAAATGCGGGTGCAATGTCCCCTTCGGTCGACATTTTCGAGATACGTTCGCGAGTTGTAACGTCGGACGAAGTCGCTCCGTTTATCTTTTCTTCATTTCTAACAA